AGTATACGAATATAATTCACAGTAGTACACTAGCCAAATTATAACTATAAAGCATAAACAGTTTAAATGTATAGACGTATAGGTAGACTATAACCGATACATTTGCACTTTTTAAGTGAGAGTTAAATATTTTACATTTATATTTATTGCATATGTTGACGCCTACGAGCAGCTCTCTGTTTATCAAAACGTAATTCCATTTCTTCGAGAACACGTGGAGTATAACGAACTACTAATTTTACAGAATTTTGAGCTTGCTTTAGTAATTCCACTGCCTTCTCATGATTTTCACCTTCGACGCACTAAAACAAATTATTTTATTATTGTAAAATGTGTTTTCTAATAAATAAAAATGATAACATTTCTACCAACCACTCCATTAACAGATAAAAGCTGATCTCCACGTTTTAAACCACCGTGTCTATCAGCAACACCACCAGGTATAATGCGAGATATATAAATCGGCGAATTTTGTTCTTTACCTCCCATTACATTAAAACCAAGTCCTTCTTCGGTTTTAGGTAATTCGACTACACGTGGATGTGCATGACCTTCACTAGCTGCAAAAGCAGCAACAGTTGCTTTTGCTGTTGCAGATGCACGTACATCCTGTGATCCCTTTATAATAATTGTGAATTAATTATCAACAATTGTAATTATATGATTAGGGCTGCATTCCATTTAGCGCTCACAGCGAGGAACCATTTCATCCTTGGTATTTATCAAATTGTTGAATAAGGACTAATGATGCTCGTGCACGTTGCGAGCGTTAAGTGGAACGCAGCCTTAGTAATTATGAAAGAGACGGGCTTATTCACTGATTTTTATGAAATTATGCTTATTTGATGCATTTTTGTACGAAATAAACGAATTTGGCAGAAAAATATCGCTCTGCTTCGAAATATTAAGCATTAAAGTTATTTTATTTTGTAACTTTTCCCTCGGGTACCGACAAGATACGTTTATTCTAACGGGATTGCCTTTGGGCGTCCGATCTTCGGGCCACAAATATGGCACGAAGGCACTATACCAAATTCATTACACTGGCTTTCAGCGCTTTTCAATACTTCTATTCTTATTTTACATCTAATGAACGATAAAAACAGAATGATGATTACAAGCGCTTAAAGCGCGTGAGCGTCCAAATCGACCGCACCTAATGTCAATCAAACTCGTAAAGAGTCCCTTTTTTCTTATTATACAATTCTAAGCTCCTTGCATAATTCGCAACGGCCTTAAGCCTTCCAACAATACGACACAATTAGATTTTGTCAATAAACAACGATATGCAGGGGCGCTTGGGATCGAACCCGGAACGGAAAATTAAGTCGAGCGTGCTACGCACGCAACCACTCGACGTCCCGCAAGCACTAACCCTTAGTACACACCTTAATTTTTGGCACCCTTACTATACATAATAGATCTTTCATGTCTTGGATTAATTTTTATCACTTTTACAAGTATATAAAAATTATTAACAAATATCTAAAAAAAGGCTTGAAAGAATCTATCAATAATAATA